TCGTCAAGGCTGCCCCCTCCCCCTTATTTATTTATCCCCTACATGGATTTGTTCCCCCAGCTCCTAGCCAAACACCTTGACTCAGGCTTCCTCTATGGTATCAAAATTGCCAAAAACTATCTGAAGTTGAATCACCTTATGGTTGTCGACGACATATTACTCTTTGCAAGGTGCACCAGTGGTAAAATTGACACTCTTAAAAAGATCATTTCAAATCAACGTTTTAAAAAATGACTCGAAAACGGAACTGTGTTGGCCATCGGTTTTCGGGTAGATGGTCCGACTGTTCGGTTTGAACCGACAACCCATTCTGACAGCAAAATTAAAAAAATGAAAAAATAAAAAATGGTCAAATACTGTTGAACGGGTTAACTGTTTGACCGCCCGGGTCAATGGTTTATTGACTTTTTCAACAGTTTTTTACCAGATTTTGGGTTTGGGGTAAAACGAAACCGATTGCTTGGACGGGAGGTACCTTTTTATAGCCGAAAATCCGTGTCATAGTCGAATGAGACTTCTAAAGTTGTCGGGATGAGGTTAACCGTCAAGGTCTTCGGGATAAGACCTAATCCCCAACGGAGTCCTCATCCGTACGACGTTCTCTTGTTTGGGTCGCGTTTATCCACATGATGCGGCATTGATGTGGCCAAGGAGATAAGGTGAGCCACAGGGATAATGCGGTGCTAACGTGGCAGAGAAGATAAGATGGGCCATGGAGGTGACGAGGCATTGACGTGGCCGAGGAGATAAGATGGCCACGTATGCGACACGTGATGTCTAGGGCCAGCTCAAACATAACCCGGACACCCACTTAAATGGGACATAATTCCTAAATGTTAAATTATACCATTGATAGAAACACAAAGGGGAAAAGGAGTTGGATCACCTACCAACAAAACAAGTTCCAACAACCTACCAATTTGATGCGATACATCTTGTTATAAAATTGGGGACAGTCATAAAATTGGGACCCGCCATTAAAGTTGTAGGGTGTTGGAAGGTATTTTGTTGGCAGGGATAAGTGAAAGAAGGTTGAACCCATTATGACCCCTAGAAACGTGTACATATTAGCATAAAATCTCATTCATATTTTGCTCTTTTGTGCTTGAGACTATGTGCCTTTTTTTTAAAGGGATCGTATATGCAATTTTGTTAGAGAATAAAAACATATTTAAAGACCTCATGTAACAACTTAAACTTTTAGGTTGAATGGTTTTTTTACATGGTATTAGAGCCGACCAAGTGGTCTAGTGTTCGACTCTCATGGCCCCCACTATAATTAATTAAGTTTCAGCCCAAGGTATGGGTGGGCCTGTGTTTGTCCATGCTTTAAGCCTGATGTGCTTTCATGTGAAAGGACATGTTAGAAAATAAAAATCTATTCAAGAACCTCATCTAACAGCTTAAGCTTTTAGGTTGAATGGTTCTTTTAGAAATTCATTGCATCAAATCAACTTTGGAAAAAAAAAGATGAAGATTCCACTAGTGGTCTTAATTACAATTCCCATCCCAAACTTGTCATGGTCCATTGTACCATCCACATTGATTTTGACAACGGGTGCAGTAGGTGGGGACCAACCTTCAACAACAGTTGCAGTGGGAATGGTGAAAATGTTCATCTCTCAGTTTTTTAACTCTGCCAATTCCTCTAGTTTTAATGTAGGTACTAGGTATTCCATATGCAATCATATGGAATCGCCACCCTCGCCCCTTTTAGCAAATTCTTTTGTTTTTTTTTCTATTTAGTCAAGCATGTTGTATCATGTACATAGGGGTGTAAACGAATCGAATTAGAATCGGATCAGGTAATATTCGAATTTGAATCCGATTAAAAAACTCGGTATTTGACGGATTTTGAAAATCAATATCCAAATTCAAATTCGATTAAATATTCGAATATTCGATTCGATTCGAATTTGACTAATTAATTATTTTAGGTAACTAATAAATATATAAAATAAATATTTTATTTATATAAAGTATATAAATATATAAATCATTCATATAGTTTAATTATTATATATATAAATTAAATAAGACATTTAAATATTTTATATATTATATATAAGACTTAAACAATCGGTCAAATTCGGATATTTATCGAATCGACAGGTCATATCCAAATTCGAATCCGATTAACTATTCGTATGAATAGGATATCCGAATTCGACCAATTAGATATTCAAATTATCTGAATCCGATTCAATTATGTCGAATCTCAAATTTGAAATCAGATTTTTGAATACCGTTGACACCCCTACATGTATAGGAATCACATCTTCTCTTATGGACCTGCCAAAATGAAGTCATGGTGCTTAAGGACTTGAGTGTTAATAATTAAGCATTTTTTAAATGCCATGTGAGTTTCATAAGTAGTGCACTATTTCTTGAATCAGTATCTTGGAATCCCAAACCCCTACATTTTTTTTTATTCATGAAGAACATCCAGCCTTTGAGATATATGTGAGGGCTTCCCCAACCAAAAGTCACGGCTTATAGCTTTGATTTGGGGTGCAAATAGGGGTGTCAATTGGACTAGATTTGGTTCAATTCGATCCAGTCCAATGTGAGTCCATTATAAATGGACCAGGTTCAATCCAAACCAATGAATGTTTTGACTTGGTCCAATTCAATGTTTGGACCGTTCAATCTGTTCAAATTTATTTTGATTTAGATTGGTTTCAACCCAAACCCGGTCTATTGACACATATATTCTTATCTTATATCAATGAACCAGATATTGGCTTAATCCAACCCAATCCAATATAAATTTATTACGTATGGACCAGGTCCAATCCAATCTAATAAATATTTTGGACCGGATAGGTCCAATCCAATATGTCTTGCTGGTCCATCCAATCCATCCAATCCATCCAAATTGATTTTGGGCTGGACGGAGTCCAATCCAAAACCACTTCATTGACACCCTTAGGTCCAAGATAGTTTTCTTTCCCTGTTAACTCCAAACTAATGAGCAATATCCATCCCTTCTGGTTCTTCTATGGACTTTCTAGCTAAAGAAAATTGAGGATTTGTTGAGACTCGGCCAACCCCCATAATTTGAAACAACGTTTTTGAACTGTCGTTGACCCGGACGGTCAAACCATTATTATATGTGATGAGAAAAAAACTGCGTTTATTTGCCGCTAAAATCTATGGAGAAATATAAAGATTCCTGATGGTGCGCAATCCGGCGGGTCCTAGCTGTCAAAGATCTTGCCTCAGGCTGGA